TAGAACATCACCGATCGGTAGCCAGTGCAGCTCGCGGAGGATAGGTGTAATGTGGGTGTATTCTGGACGAGTTGAAGTCTCTGAATACTCTTCAAAGGCTGCCCCATGTAGAGCGCATTGCAGTAGTCCAGTCTTGAGGTCACGAAGGCGTGAGTGACGGTTGCGAGTGTCTCCCAGTTCAGGTAGGGGCGCAACTGGTGCACCAGGCGAACCTGGGCAAATGTCCCACTGGTCACAGCCGACAGGTGATGTTCTAAAGTCAGCTGTGGATCCAGGAGCATCCCACAGAGAAGGCGCTGCATAACACAGGTTGGCCATCACGGGCTTAGGATCATTATATTGGGAGCGGGGAAGGTGATTGAAACTAACAGAGGGTTACCATATGTGGCGGATGTGAACAGTTGCGAAAAAGTATTGGGAAAAAATAAAAGATTGGCTAGAGGAGATTACTACACATCAAACTGCATTAAAACCCGAATTATTTTTGTTAGGGATTATAAAAGGAAATTATGAAAAAAAAATACTAGATACTTAATTTTACACATCGTTACGGCAGCGAGAATTACATTCGCACAAAACTGGAAAAATAATTATGTACCAGCAGAAGAAAATGTAATTAAAAAAATATTGGAATGTGCAGAGATGGATAGGCTCACGAAAGAATTAAAAGAGAAAGAAGAATCTGAATATTACTCTGTATGGGATTTATTGTACAATTGGCTAGAGGAAAGGAGGGGGAAAGCAGGAAAGGCAAAAAAGAAAGGAAGGAAGATCAACTAAACAATAGACAACTACAAAACCGGAAAAGGATTAAAAGATTGAAATATGAGATAGACTATAGCAAATAAATATTACACAAAATGACGTAAATTTAGTAAAATCTGTTACACATAGAATATATAAAATATTACATATAGAATGAAAAAAAAGTATGAAATCATGTAAATGCACAAATATATCAAGTCATAGTTACAAAAGATTTACTATATTATATATTATACAAAATGACATAAATGTAGTAAAAACTGCTATAGATAGAACATACATAATATTATATATAGAATGAAAAAAGTGTATGAAATAATGTAAATGCACAAATATATGAAATCATAGTTATAAAAGATTTATTGGTATAGATAAAACAGACACAACAGATAGGTAAAAAATGTAATGTGTTGCAAAGATATGAAGTTTGTACAAACAAAATAATATTTATTTAAAAAGAAACTAACAGGGGAAAACACACACATTGAGTTGTGTTGGTCAGGATTATTCTCCCACCAGATCTATGACATTTAGGATCAAGTGCACTTAACAATCGTGTTACTAACATAACAACTGCAGTGATTCACTTAACAGCTGTGGCACAAAAGCTCATAAAATGGGGCAAAATTCACTTAACAAATGTTTCACTTCCCAACAAATACTTTGGGCTCAATTGTGGTTGTAAGTCGAGAACTACCTATACTATAGGATATCCAGCTTAGTGCAATCATTTCAAAATGAAAAAAAAAATTCAATAGAGAAATTGTGTCAATTTTTTTGACTTTCAATTTCCAAACATGTAAAGGTAAAGGCTTCCCTTGCACATATGTGCTAGTGGTTCCTGACTCTAGGGGGCGGTGCTCATCTCCGTTTCAAAGCCGAAGAGCTAGCGCTGTCCAGAGACATCTCTGTGGTCATGTTGCCAGTTGTTACAGATAACACTGTTCCCTTCCCACCAAAGGTGATCCCTATTTTTCTACTTGCATCTTTACATGCTTTTGAACTGCTAGGTTGGCAGAAGCTGGGACAAGTAACAGGAGCTCACTGGGGATTCGAACCGCCAAACTGCCGACCTTTCTGATTGAGAAGCTCCGCCTTTTAGCCACTGAGCCACCTTATCCCACAAATATTTTGGTTACTTTAATATAATTTAGATGCGCTTCGTAAGTAACTACATAAATATCATACTTTTTGACATTTTGTTTGTTTCATTTGAGAATACACTTAAATAACTCTAGTAGTCTATCTAGTTTTATCAGCAAGGATGTAAGAATTAAACAATGCGCTGCGGGGGGGGGCGGACTGTAAATACAAACCCCCCACAATTTCAAGGGGTTTTTAACAGCTGTTGCTGGTTCTTTTCCCCACTTAGGAGTGAAACATAAGGTATTTCTAACTGCCGAAGATTGCTTTGAGTTGGGAAAAATTGCCTATACTGAAGCCGACTACTATCACACTGAATTGTGGATGGAGCAAGCTCTGAAACAGTTGGATGAGGGAGAAGTTTCTTCTGTGATCAGCAAAGTCTCTGTTCTAGATTATTTGAGCTATGCTATATACCAGCAGGGCGACTTGGACCAAGCAATGATGCTCACCAAACGGTTACTTGAATTGGGTAGGTTAATCTTGCTTCTATTCGGCATGTTTGCACTGCTTTAGCTATTTTTCCTCCCTCGGACATTTTCCACTTGGATGTACAGGCTTTTCAAACTAATTAATGCAGTGGAGTGAAAGACAGAATTCTGCTGGGAATCCCAGTAACTACAAATGTGTTTAGGAAGCATTAACCCCCGCCCCCCCGCCCCCAATCACTTTACATGCCATTTGCATCTGTGATTTGGATATTTATATATGAAGATAGAGATACATTCCAGCTGACACAAGTGGATTAGATGCTGACGTATACAGATTTCATCGGATCTTAACGACAACAGAACTCAAACCAAAGGACAACATCTCTTAAAAATAGCAATAGCAATAGCAGTTAGCAATAGCAGTTAGACCTATATTAAGATTAAGATTAAGATTTAGTTTATTTGTATGCTGCTCTTCTCTGGGCGGGACTCAGGGCGGCGAACAACTCAAAAGGGGAAAAGGGGATACAAACACAATACATGTAATTAAAATACACAAGAGTCATACAGCCTAGTAAGTCATCTGTCTACCAAGTTTGGTTGAAATTGCTTGAGGCGTTCCAGAGT